TATGGCATCCAATCAAATTTCTAAATAATGATTTTCAAAGTGCCTCACAGCATCAGAGACAGGTCTCCTGCTAATTTGGAGAGAAAGATAGCAGATCTTATGTTAAATGATCTTGTTGAACACATATACACAATAATAATGATGGTAAATAGAGCAGACAAAACTTTTGGAAGTGATGAATATGTTTATGGCATAGGTTGTGATGATGGTTTCATGAGTATGTATTCATCTCCATCAAGGTTTATACATGAAACACATACAGCATTTTGCATGTCAATCATACCTCAATAAATTAGTTCTACCAAAAATAAACTTAAACACAATAGAAAAAAACTACTGTTGACCTCTTCCTCCATGAAGTATGACTTGTATTTCAGATTTCTGATGGTTACTGAATCTTCCAGATTTTCTGAAGATAAGTATAGGAGAAATTAAACGTTGGTCTAGAAAAGACAAAAATACATATTTGAGGATGAATCAATCAAATTTTCCCTTAACATAATAGGACTTGTTGCTCAAGCTATTCAAGCCAGTACCAGGCTAGTACCGTCAGGGTACTTCCCTCTTTTCATCAGTTGGGCGTGTTCAACCTTCAAGTGGAAATTCCTTTAAAAAATTTCCCAAATTGAGAGGAGCAGATCCCTCTGCCTGGGCCCACAAAGGACAGTCACCTACCTGGATGCAGATATCAAATTTCCAAGGTAGTTCTTCCAAGGTAATCAGGAACATGGTTGAAGCAACTGCAGCTGGCCCTAGAGAGAGGAAACTAATCTCCAGCCAAGTTGGGTAAGCAGCTGCTTAGAAGGCTTTGAGACTCCCAGCCCATGGCAGCCAAGCCAAAGTGTTCCTGATCGGGAACCAAAACCTGTTACTGAAACACCAGGAGTATGGTCTAGGTCCTGTTGCTCACCACACAAAAAAACCAATCAATATCACCAATTATTGCCAAGGAAGAAGGCCGAATTGGATGCTGTAACAGAGGAGATGGGAGATCAGTCTCAAATCTATCTTCCTGACCAAGTAAAATTATGAGTTTACATAGCAAGGAAGAAATGCAACAATGTGTAGAAAAATAGGAACTCAGGAGACCTAAGGAAGCAATCATAATTTATGAGGGGCCTGGTGTCCCATTGTCTGGATGGGCTCATCTGGTGAGTTTCAGTTCTTTGATACTTCTTGAGGGATCTAGGGGTCCTTTACTATGGAAGAAATTCATATAAAACAAATGAAGGTTTGAAGCTTTAAGACTGGAAGGGTCAATTTCTATGTTTATACAAAAATCTATCTATAGGACTACAGGGGAGGTTTTAATTCCAGTGTCAGTGCTAGCTGCAATCTGCCTCAAGTCTGCCTACACTTCTGGCAAACTCTGTCTCAGGACCTTGGCCAGGAGAATAGCTTACTCTCCCATCTGGGGTCTCCTCTCCCATCTGTAGGGGATGCTGAACTTGCCAGTTTCTTTCTTTCTTCAGTTCCTAAAGAGACTCCTTTGCATCAGCCTTTCCCCTCAGCTCTGGACTCTCTCTAGAACTTAGCCCATGCTTATGGGATGCAGTGGGTTAAGGCTTGAAACTAGACCACTATGCCTTCCTCTCACAAACACATGCTATCTGACAGAGTGGTTACTCTGCAGGACCCCAGCAGGGGAATCTCCAAGTCCACTTCTCTGATGTAGCTAGTCTGTGGATCAAAACTGAAATGTTTAGTCTTACGTGTCACAGCCTCAGGGCTCTCTGGGCCTAGCTCAGTTCTGATATCAGTCCCATTATACTCAGTATTAGTCAAAAGTGACTTCCTGAAACACTGATAGCAGCTTGGATTCTGGCAGGAACATGGGCTCTCTGAACGGAAGCAATGAATTCTGGTTTCACAGGTGCTGAGTTTATACTAATCAGCTTTAGGCTTTTCAGTTCCTAAAGAGACCCCTTTTCTAAGCAGGGTCAGGCCAGGATAGTATGTGATGTTCTCCTGTAGTGCTGTTTGACAACAGTGTTCTTTGGAGTCTGAGGAGGCTTGACCTTTAAAAATCAAACTGCTGCCGGGCACGGTGGCTCACGCCTGTAATCCCAGCACTTCGGGAGGCCGAGGCAGGCAGAGCACAAGGTCAGGAGATCGAGACCATCCTGGCTAACACGGTGAAACCCCGTCTCTACTAAAAATACAAAAAATTAGCCAGGCGTGGTGGCGGGCACCTGTAGTCCCAGCTACTCTGGAGGCTGAGGCAGGAGAATGGCATGAACCCAGGAGGTGGAGCTCACATTGAGTTGAGATGGCGCCACTGCACTCCAGCCTGGGCAACACAGTGAGGCTCTGTCCCCCCAAAAAAGTCTCAAACTGCCACGGGAGCTGCTTTACCCTAAATTTTTGTTCACAGCCTTCACTGGATTACCTGTCAAGGCTAACAAAGTTCAGCCATGTGAACATATTTGCAGACAGGTGAGAATGAATTGATATCTCTTGTCTAGCGTTCCAAGGAAAAGCTATTGGATCTTTGTATGTACAACTAGATGTTTTTATGTATATGCACATGTATTACATTATATGTTGTGACTACCAAATGGGCTTAAAAATAAAAGAGCACTCAAAAAGTAAATAAGTCCAAAGCATTTTTCACTTTCATATTACTTAAGTAAATCTTTAGGAAGCTAGCATTAAAATTATTGTAAAATAAAAATAGAAATGTCTTCAGAATTGTCAGCATACATTTTTGTCTGTGTTTTGTATTTGTCTCTGTAAGACATTTTGAGGGACCAGAGTTTGACACAGAAGGTTATAAAACTACAAACAAGAGTTTGAGACCAGCCTGAAAAACAAAGATTCCGCCCACCCCCACCCCGCCATCTCTATAAAATAAAAATACAACAATTAGTCTAGCACAGTGATTCATGCCTGTAGTTTCCACCAATCAGGAGACTGAGGTGGGAGAATTGCTTGAGCCTGAAAAGTCAAGGCTGCAGTGAGTCATGAGTCAGCCACTGCATTCCAGTCTGGGTGACATAAGGAGACCCTGTCAAAAAAATATAAAAATAAAATTAAAAGGTGAAGAATGACAATTGGGCACAGGAGCATTGCAGAGAGACTAGGGGAACAGTTGTAATTGTTAATAGTATGGTCAAAGGAGGCCTCATTGAACAGGTGGCTTTTAGATAAAGACTTAAAGAAGGTCATAGAGTTTTCTATAGGTCTAATGAGAAAACAGAATGCAGGCAGAAGAAAAAGAACAGCCAAGTGCCTGAAGCAGAGAGGCCAAAGAGATTGAGGTCACGGATGTGATTGGAGGGATGCCAGGAAGGTGACAGGAGTCTGAGTCGTGGAGAATTTAGAGGGCTATTATAAGGTATTTATATCTCTTTCTCTGAATGAGATTGGGAGTTACTGCAGGAGTTGCACAAAGGAATGACAAAATCTGGCTTTTGTTTTAAGAGGAATATTCCGGTTTTACATTGAGAAAAGACAAAAGACATTCGACTTCATGAAAAGAATGCCGAGATGGGAAGCAGCTAAAAGTTTACCATATTTGGGGCACAGTTTCGTAATGCTGGCAGGTGAAACAAGCCTCCTGGGTAAAGTCAGAATTTTATTACTCATTCAACAGGCAGAATGATTTATGTGTTTATGTTAGTCCTCCTTGCTCCACAAGTCCTACAGAGGAAATACCAGAAGGCAGATTGACATTGCAAATGCAATAGATGTGTGTTTGCAGCAAACCTGCCCTCTGCTTCAGAAGAAAGCAATATCTCTAGCTTCCAAGCTGTCCTCTTTACAAACATCCTTGAAGAGATAGTCAAGAGCAAAGATTGTCAATGTCTCTGCTCATAAGACACGCAGAAATGTGAGAGGCCATGAAGAATTTTCTCCCAACCAGAATGAGTGGAATGTCACAATGGATTGGATGTGAAGTGGGAGGGGAAAAGATACTTAAGAATAACTTCAAGAGTTTTTACTTGAATACGTGAAAAGATGGAGTTGCCATCAACTAAGTTGAGAAAGATTGACTACAGGTGAAGTAGGCTGGGTAGAGAGGGTGGATAAGGAGTTTGATCTGAGACATAATACATTTGAGATATCTATTGGATGGAATCCAAGAGATATCAAACAGTCCATTAGATACATATGTCTGGAGTTTGGAAAAGAGTTTGAGTAATAATATAAATGTGTTAGTCATTGGCAGGTAGATTGATTTTAAAGCCATAGGAACAGATGAGACCACCAGGGGTAACTGTGGATACAAATGAGGGCCAATGATTGAATTCTAAAGTGAGGCAAAATTACAAAATTGGGGATGAAAGAAGGGTCCAAAGAGGAGACTAAGAAAAAGTAACCAGTGACTTTAAAGGAAAATTAAGGGACTGTGCTGTGTTGGAAACCAAGTGAAGAAAGTCCATTGAAGGAAGATATTTTAAGATGAGAAACAATAATTGACTATAGAATTTAATAACATAGAGATCACTGATGGCTTTAAAAAGTGTTTTAGTAGAATTGGTATAGCAAAACCCCAATTAGATAAAATTAGGAGGGGGACTGGAGATAGCATGTATAGACAATTCTTTCAATAAATTTTGTGACAAAGTATTAAAGCAAACTAAATTTGGCCTGAGAAGGACTCTGCATTTCTACATTTGAGTCCTTGTGGGTGAACTGTTACCTACTTTAATAGTCAGACAAAATTGAAAACCGAATTTAGTAGTGTGCACCTGTAACAATACTTGAGTGTTGGCCAATCCCAGCAGCCATACTTCAACCACCCAGACAGTTGAATGTTCAAACTGTGTTCAAATAAAGCAAAGTCCCAGTTGTAATCAATCTCACTGTTTCTGTACCTCACTTCCGGTTCCTGTACGTCACTTTACCTTTTTTCCCTATAAATTTGTTTTGACACAAGGCACCCCTAGAGCCTCTGTGAATCTGCTGTGATTCTGAAGGCTGCCAGATTAATGAATTCTTCATTGCTCAATTAATTGCCTTTACATTTAATTCAGTTGAAGTTTTTATTTTATCAGCTCGTGTCAGAAGCAGGATCTGAAGTGGAGCTTCCAGTATCCCCAGGAGCGCTACGTGAACACAGAAGGTACCTGCAGGATCCACTTGTGTGCGCTGATCTCTCGGAGTGGCTGAGGATCATAATTAAGCTCCCTCTCGCATTTTGGAGCTTCACGTATTTATGTTTTGAGCTCTCTGAGTTTCCTTCAGCAAATTTGTGATCCAAACTAGGTTTGGAGTTGTCACAGAAAATGGACTGGGTCTAGGAATGAATTTGATCTGGGAATTAACTGGCTTGGATCCACTTAGAGGCCTCTAACAGCTGACTAGGTCAGAAAAGAACTGGTAGTAAGCAGTAATGTTGCAGGAGTTATAAAATTTGGCTTTTCAAAATTCACAGGGATTTTTGTGTTCTATTCCTTTGTTTCATTTCTTTTGTGCACCTGGGTAGGAAAAATCATTGGCTAAGTTAATCAAGAGAACCTGAGAGTAAAGCCTGTATTTTATGTAAAAATGGAATCCTTAATTTCTGGAAAACTGAGTTCCTTCTAGCTTATACATTAGGCCTGGGAGGCGGCCAAGTCTTACAGAAATGGCAAAATCTTACTAAAGATGACTTAGAGTGGAACGTTCCAAATGAACAACAATGCATTGAAGTACATTTAAAAATGAGGGCTCTCAGTAAAGTCCCTTTTGGCTAAGAATGGATTTGGCACTATGGGATGTCAACTGTTACTCTCTTTGGAATAATCTGCTTTGCACTCTTTATTGGCGGCTGTGGGTGGCAGGATTAGGCATGCACAGAATCATTGGACATGGGGAGCTTCTTTCTTTCCCCTAACACAGGGGAAACTTGGTAGCTGATGGAACTGCTGGGGGAAAAAAAGCAGAAAGAAGAAAAATAGCATTTATTCTGTTTTCATAATTCTCATCTTTAACTATGGTTCCATATCTTCCTTTTTTTTTCAGTCTTGCATAAAAAAGAAACATGGCAATGGTACAAAAGAAAATTCTGAAATAAGATATAAATCACACATTCTTTCACCACCCCAAAACAATTTTCATGTTTGTTTATTCCCTTCAAATCCTTGTCCACATGCATACATATTTTGGGTAGATAAATCAAGTTATGTATTTTGCATTTTTACCTATTATTCATTATAATTGTTTTTTTATAGTCTTCACACTGACTATTGACTGTGTGCGACTCATATTTACTAACTGTCATTCACAAATTTATTATTTCTCTTCAGTGGACTTTAAACTTATTTTCCATGTATAATAGAAAATTTTTCCAGTTAAGGAATGAAATTCTGACACATAATACAACATAGGTGAACCTCGAAAACATTATGCTAAGTGAATAAGCCAGACCCCAAAGAACAAATACACAGGATTCCATTTATATGAAGTACCTAGAACAGGCAAATTCCTAGAGACATAAAGTAAAATAAAAGTTACCAGGGGCTAGTGATGGAGGGAATGAGTAATTGTGTTTTAATGGGTACAGTTTCTGTTTGAGACGACAAAAACGTTCTCGAAATGGATAGTGGTGATGCTCGTAGAGCACTGTAAATGTACATAATGCCGCTGCGTTGTACGCTTAAAAATGGTGAAACGATTAGCTTTGTGTTATGTGTACTTTACAACAATTTTTTAAAAGAGTGTGGGGAGGGATCTACCAGGGTTTTAGCAGCTTTCTGATTTAGAAAAGAAATGTTAATGGTAGGAATACAGGTAGAGAACACTTTTATTTGGGTAGATGTTAGAAACTGAGGCCAGGGTGGGGTCATAAGAGCAATATTAAGTGTGAGGAGGAGGAGGCCCTCAGCTAAGGTCATTGCAAGGGGATGGAGTGGGGAATAGATAGGAGAGGTATTTTGGACAAAGATGTGGCAGCTGACAAATGTGGGGGCTGTTCTCATGTGTCAGCCAAGGCTACAATGTTCTCAAGGCGAATGGAATACAAGCTTTTTTGCGGGAAGTGATACAGCATGGTAGATCTTAAATTGAAACTTCTAACATCTTGACCAGAACTTCAAAGTAGAAAATTTTGAAGTTCATTTTTGAAGTTCCTGTCGAGAACTTCAAAATAGAAAAATTTGAAGTTCATTTTAAGTTAAATGAGGTGAGAAACAGAGCAAAGAAGGCTCTTGGAGATGGGGAAAAAAGGCTTTTTTTTTTTTTTTTTTTTTTTGACAACTACAAAAACAGCAGAGTCAGACAGGGGATAGGCTCATGACAGAGATCCAGTTCTATTTACTAAAAGTTCCTTGAGTGTTCAAACATTCTGAAATTCTGAGGCCTTGCAAAAGGATGTTTTTGTTTAAATATTGTTTCATCTAGCTACAGAACATAGTTGAATTTTGAGGCCTTTGACCTTAGACAAGACAAAATATGTTTCACCTTGCCTATGACTTAAGACATATTTGTTAACTATTTAACATTCATGGATAAAAAATTTCAAACTTCTGTATTAACTAATTTGCTAACGATTGTTTTAAGTATGTGATCCATGGGTTCTTTCTCTTACATTAATTAAGTTTGTGGTAAGTTTTTCACATTTCTAATTATTTTTACATCATTGGATATAACAGCTAAATCTCTATATGACATATTGATTATTATAAAGTGAATTAAAAAACTAACATATGTTAAATATTGTTCTTACTTTATGCCAGGCATAATGCTATATATTTTATATATATTACATTGTGTAATCTAGTTCCTCTGGAAAACATGCATTCTAATTTCCAGTTCCAAAGTGGTGAGAAAACATATTGAGGTTCTGATTGGTTAAGCAATTTAACAAAGAAGTAGGAGACAGAACTAAAATTTGAAAGCAGCCTAAGCTTTGAACCTATCAGTTGTGATGATAACCTTCTCCAAGTTATTGTTAAATTATTGGAACATTCCTAAGAATGCTGAATGTTATTTCAAAGAAAAATTATAGATATGTGTCAAAAATTTGTACATCTTTTAAAAAAAAATTTTGTAATGTAACTATGACAACTTCCAAAATGGCCATTGGTCTGCAATATTTGGCTCAAAGAAACTAAAGAAAATCTGTGCCATCTCCTGCTCTAAATTCTCCAGTCACAACTGTTCTCAGAGGGCTGACATTTTCTATTCCAGATGAAAGAAGACTTCTCAGGCATCTGATGACCAAAATACAGAGAAAAAAGTTATGATGTTGGTGGGTGAGTGTTCTGCTACAGGCATTTGAGAACCTCACATAACTCTTAATCTTCGCCTTTAATTCATTCCACCAGGGAGGAAGGGCATGGGTTTTGGAGCCATTCATATGTGGTTTTAAAATTTGACTTTGGCATTTATCTCTGTAAGAACTTGAGAAATTTACTTAGTCTCTCTGAGCTTTGGTATATTCAGAATGAAGATGATACTGACAGTACCTATATCATGAGTGTTACTTAAATGGAGATGTATAAAGTGCATTTTAAATTCATTTGCTCTCTTACCATTTTCCATTCACTTCTTATCTTTTCAGAGTTTCTTCTTGAAGGACTCAAGGACTGAAGCATCCCACAAAATGATCCTACTGGATAACTCCCAGAAGCTGCTGACCCTATACAAATCCTTGGCCAGTAGCATCCCTGAGTCCCTGAAGGTGAGGGAACAGTGGGAGAGGCACATGGTTTTGTGAATGTTTTTTTACCTTTCTGTGCCTTTACCTTTGGTCTTTTCATCAGTGAAATGGGAATAGTATTAGCACCTACTTCTTAAAGTTGTTGTGGACTCTAAATAAATTCATACAATATTAATGCTAAGAGCATTGCCAAGTGCCCAGCTAGTGCACAGTAGCTTTTTGGTATCACAAGGACACCTACTTATGAGTTCTGCCTGCTTGCTGGTGATTTCACGTCCATCAACATGGTCCTGGAGATGCTGCTCATCTCACTATCACTGACTTGGTCTCAGTACTGTCTCTTGACTTCCATTTTTCTTTCTCTTCACATCCAGATCCTCATCTCTGGGGATCTCAAATTGTCCTAGTTCTTTCCTTCCCTCCTTCAGGTTTACGGCTCTGTGTATCACATCAATCACGGGAACCCCTTCAACATGGAGGTGCTAGTGGACTCCTGGCCTGAGTATCAGATGGTTATTATCCGGCCTCAAAAACAGGTAGGCACACAGACAGGGACTGGTGGAGCCAGGCAGGTCCAGAGGGCCTGAGGAACTGACTAGTTGAGACATCAGGGCTGCTTTTATAGAGTGAAAGGGAATGTGAGTATTTTAAAATACTTCTTCAGTACTTGGCACCTTGCATGAGTGCCACGTGTTCCCTCCCTTCCAGTTAAGCATAAGACACATCTGGGAAAGGGGGTGGAAGGGCAAGGGGAGGGAAAAACAAGGCTGACACTGGCAGATGAAGTACCCTTTGAGGTTGCAGGGGTCACCTGCAGGGCCTGAACGGGGCCAATTTACAGGGTAAGTTGAGTGTCTGAGATATCAGAACAGTGACTTAGAAACAAAAACCAAAGCAGAAGTCAACCGGTAAAAATTACCTCTCAGGGCAAGGCATGGTGTCTTCTACCTGTAATCCCCAGCATTTTGGGAGGCCAAGGAAGGAGGATCCCTTCAGGCCAGGAGTTTGAGGCCAGCCTGTGCAACATAGTAAGACCTCATCACTACAAAAAATAAACAAAATTGGCCGGGTATGTTGGTGCATGCTTATACTCCAATCTCCTCAGGAAGCTGAGGTGGATGACTTGAACCCCAGAACGTTAAGGCTGCAATGAGCCAAGATCACATTACTGTACTCCAGCCTGGGCAACAGAGTGAGACCTTGTCTGAAAAGAACAAAAAGAAAAAAACAAGTTGCCTCTCAGGAATCAGGGAAGGGACTCTGGGACTCATAATTTCTGTGTGTCAACTATGTCAAAGCACTTCTCTTGTTAGTGAGTGTCATCATCAGAACAATTTTACGAAGTTAGCATTAATATCTCCAATGTAGATATAAGGAAATGACAATGAGAAATATTAAGTCATGTAGCTGCTGGATACCAAATTCATATATGCATTGCCCAATCTGAATTCAAGTTCGGTGGACTCTGCCAGTTCTACTGGCTGTGTAACCATAGGCCCTTCTCTGAGTTTCATCATCTATTAGAATGGGAAAAATAAGAGGACTTTCTTCAGAGTATTACACAAGGTTTAAATGAGATACTGTACGTCAAAGACTTAGTACATAGCACAAAACTGTAGATAGTATTTACCATAATTAGCCATTATTGGCTGAGGACACACAAGGAATAAACGGTTAAGCTGAAATAGTAATACAAACCTAGGTCTGGTTTTTTTGCCCTAAAGACTTCCTCTTTTTATATCTGTTTTCTGCATGTCTGGTTAGTAACTGAAGTCTCATGGTCAGCCCAGCTTCATGTGAGTATAGATGCTAAGCCTCCAAATAATAGTAAGCCACCCCAGGTCTAGACTAGTTTACAAGCTGGGTCGGGATTGGGGTGCAGAAAGTGACAAAGTAATCCTACATTGAGGAACAAAGGGGTAAAGGGGGTGGGAACGAGGCTGAGCCTAACACCTTCCCTAGGAATGTTGTTTTGATCTCCTGACTTCCTGACAATTTGGAATCAAAGAATAGTGCTTAGTTTATTTAATCCATGGCCCAATTTCTTCAAAGTGTCATAGGCTAAATAAATGTAGGAGGTCAAATAGTTCTTTTTACTTCAGTAACTTAGTAGTTATTATGTGTATTTTAACAACGTAACTATAGCATCAAACCATAATTTCATATATGAGCTACTTTGAACAGGGCTAGTTTTTATTAAGTGAGTCAATAAACAAAAATATTAAAATATAAATCTTCCACACCACACATATATGACTAAAAAAGTGGAAAGAAGGAAATATGCTGCAATTTACTTGGAAATACATTCACCTGGTCTAATTCCATTACATACGACGTTCCTCTCAGTATTGAAAGTCAATCCAATTTTTAATAAGACCTTTTTAAGGTGATATGCAGGAGAATTTATCTAGAAAAAATAATTTTTTCTTTGCTGGTTTTTAATCACAAAGATAATATATGTTGGTTATACAAGTGTAAAAATACGACATGATCTTAAGAAGTTAATAACCTCTCACCTCTCCTTCCCTCCTCTCCTCTTTTCCTACCCCTTGGGGTAATCAGTGTCCTTGCCCATGTTAATACAAAGGGATATTCACTGATGATCTCTTCTGTCATCACTTTTTAATTTGCCTTTGACATATGGAAATCTCTTTGGGTGAAACAAATAACATATTTGTTTTAATAGCTGTTGCATTCCATAGAGTCAATGCAATTCAATTTAGTCAATCTTTCTCCTGCTGTTGGATTCAAATTGTTCATACTTCTTTGTCACTACAAAAAATGCTTCAGTAAACATCCTCATATACATGTGTTTACATCCTGGTAACTTTCCTCAGTACAATTGATTTCCAAAAGGGATATCTCCAACTCAGAGTTATTCTGCCAGATTACCTTCCCAAAGGATTGCAGAGTTTTATTTCCGTTAGCAGTGTGTGGAAGAATTGTTTCCCACATTTTTCACCATCACTGAATGTTATTCTTCTTTTAATTTATGCCAAACTAATGGGCGAAAAATGGCATCTTGTTGTAGATTTAATTTACATTTCCCTGATTGGTGATATTGAACGTATTATATTTTCCTATGTTTATCAGTCCTTTGGGGTTACTTCTTAAGTGTTTATATTGCTTGACCATTTTTACACTGGGGATTTGGTCATTCTTAAAATTCTGTAAGTGTTTTGGATACTAGTAATACTAACACAAGGTTTATGCTACAAATTTGTTGCCCATGTTATAATTACTTTCTATTTGATTGATGAAGATTTTAACATAAAGAAATTTTTAATTTTCATATAATCAAGCATATTAGTTTTTTCACTATGACTTCTGAGGTTTTGTTGTTTTACTATTAATAATTAGGAAGATTTTTCCTACTCCAAGAGCATACAAGTGTTTTCTTATTTTGTCTTACGTTGAGTTAATTTTTGTTTTTGACATTTCAAACTTCATTCTATTTGGAATATATTTTTGAATAGCATAAATTAACATTCTTTTATATTTTTCTTCCTTATGGCCAGCTAATTACATTAGTACTATTTATTAAATGAGTCATTCTACTACTGAAATATAAATGTCTATTTTGTCATATAACATGTTTATATATTTTTGTATCAGATTCTGTATTTGTTTCTAGTCTTTTCTCATGCTATTTCATTGTTTTTGTGGTAAGTTTTAATATCTAATAAAGCAAATAATCCTTCACCAATCTCTTTCTTACTTTCTGATAAACTTAAGAGCTATATGAACTAATTTTTCTAGATCTCCACCAACTACCCCTACTAACTATTGCAGTTGTGATTGGTATTGGAGGAGCTTTCTTAGACGATTTTGGATTAATATTTTTGTGATAGTAAATTTTTTCATCTAGAAATATGATCTTTTTCTCACTTTTTCAGTTTTTGCTCTATGCCATCTTGTAAAATTTTATTGTTTTCCTTATGGTAAACTACGTAATTTTCCATTAAGTTTACCCTTAGGTATTTTATACTATTTGTTAATATTAAGTTATTTTTCCTTTTCTATTTCTGAGCATTCTTATTTTGTTATTGCTTTTTATTTGGATTCTTGATTTCCAAATATGTCACACTATTCTTTAAAATCCTGCTTTTTGTGTGTGGGCTTTTATTTGTTTTTGTTTTTTGCCAAAGTCTCTAGGATTTTCTAAATGTGGAATACTGTAATCCACAAACAAAGTAATTTGCTGCTTCCTTGCCAAATTACTTTGGCTTTTAGTTCCTTGCCTTATTGCATAATGTACAACTAAGAAAATAATACCAACTAACAATAATAATAGTTCTATCCTTGTCTCATTCCTCATTTTAATGAAATAACTGTAAGAACTTACATTTGGAAATACACTTGATTCTGTCTTTACAGGTTTAGAGCATTTTCCTGTTCTTCCTACTTTCATAGAATTTATATTTAGAATGGAGGGTAAATTTTATGTTATTTCATTTTTGTCTTTTCTTTTTGGCAGTTTATATACTCATGTAATTTTCCCTCCTTTAATTTATTACACTAAAAGATCTTTTGAGCAAAGCCATTCTGGCCTTTCTAAAACTAACTGTTCATGTTCACATTCTTTTGATATACTACTGAATATTTTATAAGAATTTTTGTATTTGTATTTATAAGGGAATATGATCAATAACTCTCTTTTTGTTATTTTTTTTACTAGATTTGGCATTAGGATTTTTTCTTCTGTTACCAAAGTCTATTATTAAAATTATGTGTTTGTTTTTGGCTTATGTAGAATTTAAACATAAAATAATCTGATTTTGGCTACTCTTTATTTTTTATTTCAACATTCATTTTAGATACACAGGGTACATATGCAGATTTCTTACACTGGAATATTGCATGATGCTGAGTCTTGAAGTAAGGACAGATCCCATCACCCTGGGAGTGAGCATAATGCCCAATAAGTAGTTCTCTACACTAGCCCCTTTCCCTCCACCCTCTAGTAGTCTACAGTGTCTGTTGTTCTTACATTTACGTCCATGTATGGTCAATGCTTAGCTCCCAGTTGTGAGTAAGAACATGCGATATTGGGTTTTCTGTTCCAGCATTAATTTGCTAAGGATGGTGGCACTGTGGAAAATAGCCTGGAAATCTCTTAGAGAACTTAAAACAGAGTTACCATTCAACCCAGCAATGCTATTACTAAGTAAACAGCCAAAAGAAAATGAATCATTCTACCAAAATGACTCAGGCATCTGTATGCTCATTCCTGTGCTGTTCACAGTAGGAAAGAAATGGAATCAATCCAGGTTCCCATCAATAGTAGATTGGATAGAAAAAACTTGGTACATATATTCCTATGGAATACGATACAGCAGTAGAAAAAAATAAAATCATGTCCTTTGTAGCAACATGGATGGAGCTGGAGGCCATAATCCGTGTCCACTTTTTAAATGGCAGATGTTTAATTTAATTTCTGATATGTTCTATTAGTTTGTTGAGGATTTTTATTTTTTTGAACAATTTTTGATAGTTTATTTTTGACTGATAACATCCATTTCTTTTATCAGTAAATATGTTGCCTTGGAGTTGTATATAATCTTCTGTCACAATTCTTTTTTTTTTTTTTTTTTTCACTATTTCCTTTCTCATTTGTCATGCTTCTATTACTTTTTTTTTGTATTTTTCTCTGTTTCCCTTTTCATCTCTCATACTCTATGATTATTTTTTTATTTTTGCTTTTTCCTCTTTCTCTTCTATTTCCTTATAATGCCTTATCTGAAGTTTATCCCTCACTCTCTCCTCTCTTTCTTTTTGCCATCTGAAAACAAACTTTTGGCTTTATATGTCCTTTGCACTGTCTTGTTCTCCATTTCATTATTTATAGCTTTCATTTTTATAAATAGTTCCATTTGCTTTTTCTAGTTTACTTTGATATTCTTTTTGTAATTCCTTAAATATTTACTTGGATATTTCTGGTCATTCTTTTAAATCAGGTTTTTAAAAATATCTGCTCTTCTAAATTTACTGAGGATTTGGTTTTGGCCATATTCAGGAACTTGCATTTATAAAAACACCCTCAAATTCTTGAAGTTTTCTTTAAATTAGTTACACTATTTTCTCTTTTACTCTTTAACAATCCAATTTCCAACATAATATTAATACATTCACTGCTAAAACTCTCACACTTATTGTTTATATTTCCCCTGAGAAACAGAAACTCATCTTTCCATGAAGTTTGTGGCTTGCCAGAATGGGATCACGAGTCTCTTTCTTTTAAACCCATGAGTCTAACACCACATAAATTACCCAAAGTCCTACCAAAAATTCAGTTACTTCATTCTGTTTTGTGGGCTTCTGGCTGTAAAGACAGTGTCACTCTTCGAATAGGCTGATATCCTGTAGGCTTGGGAAAAGGCAATGTCTTCTTAATGTTTATATTCACTAAAGTATCTTGCCCAAGCCCTGGACACTGTAGATTCTAGGACACTGTAGATTTTAGGTGTCTGGTGAAACAGTAGACACTAAAACTTAGAAAAACCACAGTTAAATTTATTTTGAGCCAAGGCTAAGGACTTACACCTAGCAACACAGACTCAATACAATCCAGAATGTGTCCCATAGGAGGTTATGGGGTGCACAGCATATATAACAGGGGGATACGTGTGTCACAGGAGGTGAGAGAAGCAGGGAGAGAAGCAACTGTTGCAATCTTTTGATTCTGCTGGGTGATCGGTGATGCTATATATAAAATTAGGTAAGTGTGTGGTTGAGTGGGTAGGGAGAAAGGTGAGGTATCTTAAGCCCTGGTGCAGGGTGACTGATTTCATCCTGTCTTTGTTCTGTATCTGATAAACTGGTTTATAACCAGTACCTGTCAGTGAAATATTTAACAAACTCGTTACACAGGTAAGAGGTCAGCAGTAGCTTATAGGCCTAGCTTTTATTATCCATGCGCCCAACTGAAGCCAGCGTGGGCTACTGTTAAAATTATCTTTTGAATTTTCATTTCTCTGATAATTTCAATGAGTGAGAGGTGAAGAAAAAGTTCAAGGGAATGATCTGACCTTTCACTCACCATCCTATATAGGAGATGACTGACGACATGGATTCATACACAAATGTATATCGTATATTCTCCAAAGACCCTCAAAAATCACAAGAAGTTTTGAAAAATTGTGAGATCATCAACTGGAAACAGAGACTCCGAATCCAAGGTAATGGGTCTGAGGAAATGGGCAAGCAGCAGTGCTTCTCAAATTGTGTCTTCAACTAACAGCATTAACATCACCTGAGAGCTCATTAGAAATGTAAATTCATAGAAACTCTAGGGGCTGGGAGAGGTAGAGCAATCTGTGTTGTGACAAGGACTCCAGCAGGTTGTGGTGTAAACTCAAGTCAGAGAGCTACTAAGCACTGAGGTATTAATCAAGTGGTAGTAGTGTAAGTAGAGAACTCCATGTCTGACAATATTGCTTTTTTGGCTTCCTTCCCAGGTCTTCAAGAAAGTTTAGATGAGGGTATAAGAGCAGCTGCATTTTCAAAGTCAGTGAAGGTAGAGTATTCGAGAGCAGGCCTCTTCATTACGGAAGATATCCTGAAGTTCAATGCCTCCAATAAAAGCAAGCTTGGAAGCTGGGCTGAGACAGGCCACCCAGCTGATGAATTTGAGAGGTACAAAAACATGCGCTGATCATTTATAATTGCTATTCCTTGCACATTTTTTGTAATACACATAAATCAGTTTTGGAATGAAGAGAGGATGAATTCATTTCTTGAGATGAATAAAGGTTGTCAATGGTCAAAATACGCAACTTTGCACTGGTGGGTCTTTAAACAAGAAGAGTGCCTGGATCTCTAGATTGGGATGGCTCCCAGAAATTACAGGAGTTGGGATAAAAGTCGTTGCCTTTTTTTTTTTGTTTTCTACAGGGAAACTCTCAATTTGAAGTATGCCCAGCTGGATGTCTCTCATTCTGGGCTGGTAAATGACAACTGGAATCTAGGAAAGAATGAGAAGAGCCTGCGTTACATCAACCGCTGCATAGGAGCCCTGCCAACAGCCTGTATGCTGGGCCCAGAGGAGGCCCCAATCTCATGGTTAACCATGGACCCTTCTTGTGAAGTAGGAATGGCCTACAGCATGGAAAAATACCGACGTAGAGGCATCATGGTGCAGCTGATGTTGAGATTCAGGAAATATCTGCGTCAGAAGAATATTCCATATTACTTCTCTAAACTGGACGTAAATGAAAAGTACCGCAGGTTTATGGGGCAGTACGGTGGCTTTGAGGTTTCCTGTGGTTGGCACCAATGGACCTGCTATCCACAGAATCTAGTTCCATTTTAGATAATTAATCTGCTTAGCAATCCTTGGCAAGCCATCTCTTAATATTAAAGTAGACACCACAGAATAGCTTTCTTCATATACAAATGTTTATATGGCATTTGTGATATGCCAGGAACTCTTCTCACATGGAGACTTGATGTTAAAAGATACAGCCATGATCTTAAGGAACTTACAATCCAGGGAGGAGGCAGGGGAGGGTATACTCTTTAAATAGGCTTAAGTGTTGTAGGGAAGGAGAGGGTTACCAGTAAACATATAACTAGAAAGCCAGGCTCAGTTCTTACCTCTAGGAATCAGAACTCTTCATGAAACTTGGTTGTTAGAATCTGCTATCTGGGGGCTGAGCATAGTGGTTCATGCCTGTAATCCCAGCACTTTGGGAGGTTGAGGTGGGCAGATCACAAGGTCGGGAGCTCAAGACCAGCCTGGCCAATATGGTGAAACCTCGTCTCTATTAAGAACACAAAAATTAGCTAAGTGTGGAGGTGTGCACCTGTAGTCCCAGCTACTTGGGAGGCTGAAGCAGAAGAATTACTTGAACTCAGGAGGTGCAGGTTGCAGTGAGCCAAGCCAAGATTGCACCACTGCACTCCAGCCTGGGTGACAGAGGGAGATTCCATCTTAAAAAAAAAAGAAAAGAATCTGCTATCTGGAAGATAAATGAAGGACTTTAATAAAATTGTCAATAGAATTTACCTAATCTATATGGACACTTTATTGGAAATAAATACCACTACTATGTATGGATTTATGATGTAATGGCTACACTAAAGAATGGAATCCAACTCTTAGTTTAGTGACTAGCAAGGTATCAAAGTGAAGCCTCAGACAAATGGCTTTCCTAGGCTACCTTTCATCACTTATGCAGAAAAGGAAATCCAGAGAATCAAGTGGACTGGCTTTGAGGCCTCTGCGATGGAAATGACATTTGTTTTCCTCCTTTCTCCTAATCTTTCTTACTTCCTCTACATTAGTGAAGCATGGCACAGGACAAGGTGTTGCCTGTGAGGCTATTTATAAGTTCAGATTTTGGTGTTTGCACCACTGCTATCTTAAGGGGTCAGGGGCATTCTGGGGAGAAGTGACCACTAAGGTGAGGACTGGAGAATGAGTAGGAGTGAGTCAGACAAAAAATGCAGAAAATCCAGATGATGCAAAGGACACTTGCCATGCACTATCATAAGAACTTTCTAACTGAACACTTATATTACAGTTTCTCAATCTCTGATCTTAAAAAATACACACTTCACAAACATAACGTGGCCTCTTTCATTCTGCTATGCCACCCTGCCATTGGAACTTGGATTATTGTGAACATTGAAACTATAGCACATACGAAAAAGGCATTTTTGTTGTTTCTGATAGTCTAGATTTTAAAAAGGAAATAAATCTTAATAGCATTTGCTTTGGGGGTAAAGTCTACTAGTAGTAACCAACACCTATCCTCACCTCTCCGTAAAAAATAAACCTCCACAAAATTGAATGTTTATACTTAATGCAATTTTAAAGTGTGCAATTCCAGCACCAAAAGAATTGTGTAGGTCATGGAGCTTTTTAAAAACCTCCAATTCATCTCAGAAGTCTGTGGTAAATCTGTTAGAGCTTAGTATGAATCAATCCAATCAGATTTCTAAACACCTAAGACTGAGCTAATTTGTTACATTGACTGAAATGAAAGCATGGTCTCAGAAAGAGGAAACATGTCATTTGGGATTTCAAAGGGTGGAGAATTCTTTTTTTTTTTTTATACTTTAAGTTCTAAGGTAAATGTGCATAATGTGCAGTTTTGTTACATATGTATACTTGTGCCATGTTGGTGTGCTGCACCCATTAACTCATCAGCACCCATCAACTCGTCATTTACATCAGGTATAACGCCCAATGCAATCCCCCCCTTCCCCCTCCCCATGATAGGCCCCGGTGTATCATGTTCCCCTTTCCATGTCCAAGTGATCTCATTGTTCAGTTCCCACCTATGAGTGAGAACATGCGGTGGTTGGTTTTCTGTTCTTGCGATAGTTTGCTGAGAATGATGGTTTCCAGCTGCATCCATGTCCCTACAAAGGACACAAACTCATCCTTTTTTATGGCTGCATAGTATTCCATGGTGTATATGTGCCACATTTTCTTAATCCAATCTGTCACTGATGGACATTTGGGTTGATTCCAAGTCTTTGCTATTGTGAATAGTGCCGCAATGAACATACGTGTGTTTGTGTCTTTATAGCAGCATGATTTATAATCCTTTGGGTATATACCCAGTAATGGGATGGCTGGGTCATATGGTACTTCTAGTTCTAGATCCTTGAGGAATCGCCATACTGTTTTCCATAATGGTTGAACTAGTTTACAATCCCACCAACAGTGTAAAAGTGTTCCTATTTCTCCACATCCTCTCCAGCACCTGTTGTTTCCTGACTTTTTAATGATTGCCATTCTAACTGGTGTGAGATGGTATCTTATTATGGTTTTGATTTGCATTTCTCTGATGGCCAGTGATGACGAGCATTTTTTCATGCATCTGTGGGCTGTATGCATGTCTTCTTTTGAGAAATGTCTGTTCATATCCTTTGTCCACTTTTTGATGGGGTTGTTTGTTTTTTTCTTGTAAATTTGTTTGAGTTCTTTGTAGGTTCTGGATATTAGCCCTTTGTCAGATGAGTAGATTGCAAAAATTTTCTCCCATTCTGTAGATTGCCTGTTCACTCTGATGGTAGTTTCTTTTGCTGTGCAGAAGCACCATTTATTAAATTGGGAATCCTTTCCCCATTTCTTGTTTTTGTCAGGTTTGTCAAAGATCAGATGGTTGTAGACGTGTGGTATTATTTCTGAGGGCTCTGTTCTGTTCCTTTGGTCTATATCTCTGTTTTGGTACCAGTACAATGCTGTTTTGGTTACTGTAGCCTTGTAGTATAGTTTGAAGTCAGGTAGCGTGATGCCTCCAGCTTTGTTCTTTTGACTTAGGATTGTCTTGGCAATGCGGGCTCTTTTTTGGTTCCATATGAACTTTAAAGCAGTTTTTTCCAATTCTGTGAAGAAAGTCATTGGTAGCTTAATGGGGATGGCATTGAATCTATAAATTACCTTGGGCAGTATGGCCATTTTCACGATATTGATTCTTCCTATCCATGAGCATGGTATGTTCTTCCATTTGTTTGTGTCCTCTTTTATTTCACTGAGCAGTGGTTTGTAGTTCTCCTTGAAGAGGTCCTTTACATCCCTTGTAAGTTGGATTCCTAGGTATTATATTCTCTTTGAAGCAATTGTGAATGGAAGTTCATTCATGATTTGGCTGTCTGTTTGTCTGATACTGGTGTATAAGAATGCTTGTGATTTTTGCACATTAATTTTGTATCCTGAGACTTTGCTGAAGTTGCTTATCAGCTTAAGGAGATTTTGGGCTGAGATGATGGGGTTTTCTAAGTATACAATCATGTCATCTGCAAACAGGGACAATTTGACTTCTTCTTTTCCTAACTGAATACCCTGTATTTCTTTCTCTTGCCTGATTGCCCTAGCCAGAACTTCCAACACTATGTTGAATAGGAGTGGTGAGAGAGGGCATCCCTGTCTTGTGCCAGTTTTCAAAGGGAATGCTTCCAGTTTTTGCCCATTCAGTATGATATTGGCTGTGGGTTTGTCATAAATAGCTCTTATTATTTTGAGATACGTTCCATCAATACCGAATTTATTGTGAGTTTTTAGCATGAAGGGCTGTTGAATTTTGTCAAAGGCCTTTTCTGCATCTATTGAGATAATCATGTGGCTTTTGTCTTTGGTTCTGTTTATATGCTGGATTACATTTCTTGATTTGCATATGTTGAACCAGCCTTGCATTCCAGGGATGAAGCCCACTTGATCATGGTAGATAAGCTTTTTGATATGCTGCTGGATTTGGTTTGCCAGTATTTCATTGAGGATTTTTGCATTGATGTTCATCAGGGATATTGGTCTAAAATTCTCTTTTTTTGGTGTGTCTCTGCCAGGCTTTGGTATCAGGATGATGTTGGCCTCATAAAATGAGTTAGGGAGGATTCCCTCTTTTTCTATTGATTGGAATAGTTTCAGAAGGAATGGTACCAACTCCTCCTTGTACCTCTGGTAGAATTCAGCTGTGAATCCATCTGGTCCTGGACTTTTTTTGGTTGGTAGGCTATTAATTATTGCCTCAATTTCAGAGCCTGCTATTGGTCTATTCAGGGATTCAACTTCTTCCTTGTTTAGTCTTGGGAGAGTGTAAGTGTCTAGGAAATTATCCATTTCTTCTAGATTTTCTAGTTTATTTGTATAGAGGTGTTTATAGTATTCTCTGATGGCAGTTTGTATTTCTGTGGGGTCGGTGGTGATATCCCCTTTGTCATTTTTTATTGGGTCTATTTGATTCTTCTCTCTTTTCTTCTTTATTAGTCTTGCTAGCAGTCTATCAATTTTGTTGATCTTTTCAAAAAACCAGCTCCTGGATTCACTGATTTTTTTGGAGGGTTGTTTGTGTCTCTATCTCCTTCACTCCTGCCCTTATCTTAGTTATTTCTTGCGTTCTGCTAGCTTTTGAATGTGTTTGCTATCGCTTCTCTAGTTCTTTTAATTATGATGTTAGAGTGTCAATTTTAGATCTTTCCAGCTTTCTCTTGTGGGCATTTAGTGCTATAAATTTTCCTCTACACACTGCTTTAAATATGTCCCAGAGATTCTGGTATGTTGTATCTTTGTTCTCATTGGTTTCAAAGAACATCTTTATTTCTGCCTTCATTTCGTTATGTACCCAGTAGTCATTCAGGAGCAGGTTGTTCAGTTTCCATGTAGTTGAGTGGTTTTGATTGAGTTTCTTAGTCCTGAGTTCTAGTTTGATTGCACTGTGGTCTGAGAGACAGTTTGTTATAATTTCTGTTCTTGTACATTTGCTGAGGAGTGGTTTACTTCCAATTTTGTAGTCAATTTTGGAATAAGTGCAATGTGGTGCTGAGAAGAATGTATATTCTGTTGATTTGGGGTGGAGAGTTCTGTAGATGTCTATTAGGTCTGCTTGCTGCAGAGCTGAGTTCAATTCCTGGATATCCTTGTTAACTTTCTGTCTCATTGATCTGTCTAATGTTGACAGTGGGGTGTTGAAGTCTCCCATTATTATTGTATGGGAGTCTAAGTCTCTTTGTAAGTCTCTAAGGACTTGCTTTATGAATCTGAGTGCTCCTGTACTGGGTGCATATATATTTAGGATACTTAGCTCTTCCTGTTGAATTAACCCCTTTACCATTATATAATGGCCTTCTTTGTCTCTTTTGATCTTTGATGGTTTAAAGTCTCTTTTATCAGAGACTAGGATTGCAACCCCTGCTTTTTTTGTTGTTCTCCATTTGCGTGGTAGATCTTCCTTCATCCCTTTATTTTGAGCCTATGTGTGTCTCTGCATGTGAGATGGGTCTCCTGAATACAGCAG